CGCTGCCACACCATCATGAACTGCACGCGCACCTGCCCGAAGGGCCTCAACCCGGCCAAGGCCATCGCCGAGATCAAGAAGCGCATGGTCGAGCGCAAGGGCTGACCGCCCCGCAGCGCCGCCCGGCAGAGACGACGACGGCCGCCCTCGGGCGGCCGTTTTCGCGTCCGCCCTAACCGCCCGCGCCCGCCACCCGCCCGCGCACAGCAGCCGTGCCGCGGCGGCCCGGCTGGCGGCGCCCGCCAACTCGGTTAGACTCGGCCCCGCCATCCCGACGATCCGCTGCCCGGAGGCCCCATGTACGTTCCGCCCGAGTTCCGCCTCGACGACCCCGCCGCGATCGACGAACTGCTGCAGGCCCACGACTTCGGCCTGCTGGTCACCGCCGGGCCCGCGGGGCCGGAGGCCACCCACCTGCCCTTCGTCTACGATGCCGCGCGGCGGCTGGTCGAAGGCCACCTCTCGCGCGGCAATCCCCAGTGGCGCAGCCTGGAGCGCCTGGCGGCCGAGGGCGGGCAGGCGCTGCTGATCGTGCAGGGCCCGCACGCCTACGTCTCGCCGCGCTGGTACCAGCGGCCCGCCGCGGTGCCGACGTGGAACTACCTGGCCGTCCATCTCTACGGCACCCCCCGCCCGGTGGCCGAGCGCGACCGCCTGACCGCGCAGCAGCGCCGCCTGGCCGCCCGCTACGAGGACTCGGCGGCCTGGAGCCTGGAGTCGGTGGCGCCGGACGACATGGACCGGCTGATGCGCGGGATCTACGGCTTCGAGCTGCCGATCGCCCGGCTGGAAGCCAAGGCCAAGCTCAGCCAGAACAAGACCGCCGCCGACCGCGCCGGCGTGGCCGCCGCCCTGGAGGCCGAGCCTCGCCCCGAGGCCCAGGCCACCGCCGCCTGGATGCGCCGCCTCACCGAGCTTTAGGGCGGTGTCCGACCCTGGGGAACCGCGGCGCGGGTCCGCCGGTCGGGCAAGGACCGCCCTGTCACAAACTCTTGGCACGCCGGCCGCCGCTGGCGGCGCTGGCGCCGCTGGCGCCGCTCCGCAGAGACGGCTACCCTGGCCGGCATGAGCGAGTCCCCCGAAGATCCGCCGTCCGCCTTCCGGCGGCGCCGGCGCCTGTCGTCCGGCTCGCGCGGCTGGCTGCTGGTCACCCTGCTGCTGGCGGCGCTGGGGGTGGCGACGCTGTTCGCCGGCGGCGAGCGCCCGGGCCAGGCCGAGGGCATCTGGACGCCCGGCCTCGACCTGCAGGCGCATCGGGCCGGCCGCGGCCTGCGGCCGGAGAACACCCTGGCGGCGGTGCGCCACGCCCTGGAGACCGGCGTGACCACCCTGGAGCTGGACCTGGGCCTGACGGCCGACGGCGTGGCCGTGGTGCTGCACGACCGCCGCCTGAACCCGGAGATCACCCGCACCGCGGAGGGCACCTGGCTGGTCGAGCCGGGGCCGCCGGTCCACCGCCTGACCCGCCGGGCGCTGGCCGCCTACGACGTCGGCCGCGCCCACCCGGAAAGCCGCACCGCCGAGCGCTTCCCGGAGCAGCAGCCGGTCGAGGGCGCGCGCATCCCGACGCTGGCCGAGGTCTTCGCCCTGGCCGAGTCGCTGTCGGACGGGCGCATCCGCTATAACCTGGAGACCAAGATCGCGCCGGACGATCCGGCCTCGCCGGCGCCCGAGGCGATCGTCGCCGCCGTGCTGCGGGACATCGCCGCGGCCGGCGTGGCGGCGCGGACCACGATCCAGTCCTTCGACTGGCGCAGCCTGGCGCTGGTCCAGGCCGAGGCGCCGGAGATCGCCACCGCCTACCTGACCGCCGAGCGGCGCTGGCTCGACAACCTGCAGCGCGGCCACCCAGGCCCCTCGCCCTGGACCGCCGGCGTCGACCTCGACGCCTACGCCGGCTCCGTGCCGGCGGCGGTGGCCGAGGCCGGCGGCCGGATCTGGTCGCCCTACTACCGCGACCTGCGCCCGGGCGACGTGGCCGAGGCCCAGCGCCTGGGCCTGGCGGTGATCGTCTGGACGGTGAACGACCCGGCCGACATGGCGCGACTGATCGAGGCCGGGGTCGACGGCCTCATCACCGACTATCCCGACCGCCTGCGCACCGTGATGGCCGAGCAGGGGCTGGCGCTGCCGCCCGCCTTCGCGGCCGAGGCCGACGCCGGCGAGTGACCGGCCGCCACGCGGGGACCGGCGCCGGCCGCTGGGCGGCCCGTTGACCGCGCCCCCACGCCACAGAGGATGCGCGGCAGGCGGGGGCCGGGCCTCAGCTCAGCTTGATCTCGTGGTCGACCTTGTGCTCGACGCCCAGCTCTTCGATCTTCAGCACCATGCTGGCCTTGACGCTGCCGTTGGGGTCGAGCCGCCCCTCCTCCAGGGCGCCGCGCACCGCCTTCTCGATCTCGCGCTGGGAAGTGACGCCGACCTCCTTGAGGAACTTGCGTACCTGCATGTTGAATTCGTCTTCGTTCATCTCTCGACTCGTCCTTCTCGCCATGGCGCGGCTAAACTCCGACCGAGGCTAGCGACAAGGCGGAGCCGCAACAAGACGGACCGCCGGGGAGGAGACATCATGCGATTGAGTGACGCAGAGGTGGCCGAATACCGCGAGAGCGGCTGCCTTTTCTTTCCGGGGCTCTTCGCGCCGGAGGAGATCGCGGCGCTGCGCGCCGGCCTTCCGCGGCTGCTGGCGCGCGACGGCGAGGAGGTGATCCGCGAGAAGGACGGCAGCGGCGCCGCGCGGCTGGTCTACGGCGCCCACGCCTTCGAGGAGGCCTACCGGCGCATGAGCCTGCACCCGCGCGTGCTGGAGCCGGTCCGCCACCTACTGGACGAAGAGGTCTACATCCACCAGACGCGGCTCAACCCCAAGATGGGGTTCCACGGCGGCGCCTGGACCTGGCATCAGGACTTCGGCACCTGGCACCGGGTCGACGGCATGCCCGCGCCGCACTGCGTGATGACCACGGTCTTTCTGGACGACATCTCGGCGGTCAACTCGCCGCTGCTGATCATCCCCGGCTCGCAGCACTTCGGCCTGCGCGACGAGGTGGCGCCGGAGGCCGACAACGTCGGCTACGTGGTGATGGAGATCGACAAGCGCACCGTGGCCGAGCTGGCCGAGCGCATGCCGATCCGCGCGCTGGAGGGGCCGGCCGGCTCGGTCGCCTTCCTGCACTGCAACATCGTCCACGGCTCGGCGCCCAACGTCAGCCCCTACCGCCGCGCCATCTGGTACATCAACTATTCCGCCGTGACCAACGCGGCGCGCGGCACCGACCGGGCCTGGCACCTCAACAACCGCGACTTCACGCCGCTGCGTCCGCTGGCCGATGACTGTCTGCGCGAGCTGGGCGAAACGGGCGACCCGGCCGCCGCCGAGTAGGCCGCGCTGCCGCCGTCGCCGCCCCCTGGCGCCGCCCCCTGGCGCCGCCCCCTGGCGCCGCCCCCGACGCCGCCCGTCACGCCGGGCCCGTCAGCGGCGCGCCTGGAAGAAGTCCTTCAGCAGCGCGCCGCAGGCGCGCTCGCGCAGGCCGCCGATCACCTCGGGACGGTGGTGGGTGGTCGGCTGCTCGAAGATTCGCGCGCCGTGGTCGACGCCGCCGCCCTTTGGGTCGTAGGCGCCGAAGACCAGCCGGCGCAGGCGCGCGAAGGCGATCGCCTGGGCGCACATGGCGCAGGGCTCCAGGGTGACGTAGAGGTCGGCCCCGGCCAGCCGCTTGGCGCCGAGCCGCCGCGCCGCGTCGCGAATCGCCAGCAGCTCGGCATGGGCGGTCGGATCGTGCAGCGTCTCGACCCGGTTGTGTGCCCGCGCCAGCACCCGCCCCGCGGCGTCGGCCAGCACCGCGCCGACCGGAACCTCGCCGGCCGCCGCCGCCGCCCGCGCCTCCGCCAGCGCCAGCTCCATGAGATCGGGTTTTCCGGCGTGCTTCGGCCCCATGGCGCGCTCAACACCACGCCCCTTGCCCTGCGTCAAGCTTCGCGTTAAGTGCCGCACAGACATCGTCAACCCGCCAAGCCCCCGAGGAGTTGTCCATGCTGGAGATGGACGTCGACAAGGTCTGCTTCGTCGTCGTGAAAATGCGCGAGTACGAGGAAGAGGGCCTGATCCGCGCCGAAACCGACGACGAGGAGTCCAGCCTGGACGAGCAGGCCGAGGAGGAGCTCGGCTCCGCCGAGGAGTTCGGCGCCACCGACGAGGACGGCGGCGAGGAGGAGGCGCCGGCGGAGACCGCCAGCGGCGACGGCATCCTCGAGGAGCTGGCCACCTTCGTGCGCAACCTCGACGAGGAGGAGCAGATCGAGCTGGTGGCCCTGGCCTGGATGGGGCGCGGCGACTACGAGGCCGAGCAGTGGGACGAGGCCAAGCAGGCCGCCGCCGACCGCCATAACGACCGCACCGCCGAGTACCTGCTGGGCATCCCGCTGCTGCCCGACTATCTGGAGGAGGGCCTGGCCGCCTTCGACCTCTCCTGCGTCGACTTCGACGAGAGCCGGCTTTAGGTCTTGGCCGCCTCCCCCTCTCGCGCCGGCGGCCCCGCTCCCGCCGGCGAGCGCATCGCCAAGGTGATCGCCCGCTCCGGCCTCTGCTCGCGCCGCGAGGCCGAGGCGCTGATCGCCCAGGGCCGGGTCGAGCTGGACGGCGAGACGGTCACCAGCCCCGCCCTCAACGTCGGCCCGGACCAGCGCGTCACGGTCGACGGCGAGGCGCTGCCGCGGCGCGAGCCGCCGCGCCTCTGGCGCTACCACAAGCCGGCGGGGCTGTTGACGGCCGCCCGCGACCCCGAGGGGCGCGCCACCCTCTTCGAGCGTCTGCCCGCCGAATTGCCGCGAGTCATGCCGGTGGGCCGGCTGGACCTCAATTCCGAGGGGCTGCTGCTGCTGACCAACGACGGCGGGCTGAAACGCCGCCTGGAGCTGCCGGCCACCGGCTGGCGCCGCCGCTACCGCGTGCGCGTGTTCGGCAGCGTCGCCCCGAGGCAGCTCGAGAAGCTGCGCGACGGCATCGAGGTGGCCGGCGTGCGCTACGGCCCGATCGAGGCGCAGATCGACCCGCGTCCGGGCGAGGCGGCGGGGCGCGCCAACACCTGGCTGACCATGACCCTGCGCGAGGGCAAGAACCGCGAGATCCGGCGCGTCTGCGAGGCCCTGGGCCTGACGGTCAACCGGCTGATCCGCCTGGCCTTCGGCCCCTTCCAGTTAGGCAACCTCAAAGAGGGCGAGGTGGAGGAGGTGCCGGCCAAGGTGCTGAGCGAGCAGCTCGGCGCCAAGCTGTCCGCCGAGCTGGGGGTGACGCGCGATGCGCATCGTCGCCGGTAGGCTGCGCGGCAAGCGCCTGGTGGCGCCGGCCGGCGAAGGCGTGCGGCCGACCGCCGACCGGACCCGCGAGGCGCTGTTCGGCATTCTGGAGGGCGGACGCCTGACCGGCGGGGTGTCGCCGCTGCCCGGCGCCCGGGTGCTCGACGCCTTTGCCGGCACCGGCGCCCTGGGGCTGGAAGCCCTGTCGCGCGGCGCGGCGCGGGTCGACTTTCTGGAGCGCTACGCCCCCTCGCTGACCGCCTTGCGGGCCAACGTGGCCGCGCTCGGCGCGGGTGAGGCCTGTCGGGTGCACGACCGCGACGTCCTGCACCCGCCGGCCGCCGAGGCGCCGGCCGACCTGGTCTTCCTCGACCCGCCGTACAACCAGGGCTTCGCCCGGCCGGCGCTCGAGGCCCTGCGCGCGGCCGGCTGGATCGCCGCCGACACGCTGGTCTGCCTGGAGCTGCTGAAGAGCGAGGAGCCCGACCTGCCGGACGGCTTCGCCCTGCTGGACGAGCGCCGCTACGGCAAGGCCAAGCTCTGCTTCCTGCGCCTCGACGCGCCGGCCTGAGCCGCGCGGCGGCGCCGGCCGATCCGGCGCGGCGGTCAGCGCGGCTCGCCGTGGGTCTTCACGTCGCCGCGCAGACGGCGGGCATGATCCTCGAGCTGGCGCGCCGCCGCCTTGAAGGCGTCCTTGATCGCGACGTTGATGTCCGCGTGACGCGGATCGTGGGGATGGGCACGGGTCACGTCGATCGTCTTGCCGGGCGGCATCGTGAGGTGGATGCCCACCTGATAGACGTTGCCCTTGGTGTGGTGCTTGTGCGGGGCCTGGATCACCACGCGGCAAGAGGTCAGGTGGTCGAAGTAGCGCTCCAGCTTCTCGGCCTCCTGGCGCACGCGGGCTTCCACCGCGTCGGAGTGGTCGAGTTCCTTGAAGGCGATTTCCAGAGGGACCTGCATGACTTGTCTTTCACCCCGCTGTTGTCCGGTGAGGGCGTTGATGGGTGGGGGGCATCCTGGCATGGGACGAGGGGACGGGGCCTGACCTGGATCATGGCCGCCTGCCCACGGGGGCGCGACGCCGGCGTCAGGCCGGCGCCGCGTCGAGCCCCATCTGCCAGAAGCCGATCTCCAGCCGGCAGGCCGTCTCGAACAGCCGCAGGACCTGCGGCCAGCGCGGATTGGCCCGCGGGTCGCCGACCAGGCCGCGCCCCGCGGCCACCCGCTCGAGCTGAACGCGCGCGACCTCCGCGCCGTCCTGGAACTCCTGGCCGCCGTAGAGCTCGATCCAGTCGCGGTAGGGATTGCCGTCCAGCCGCGTCTGCGGGTCGGCCAGCAGGCGCCGGCCGATCTCGGCGTAGCCCAGGCTGCAGGGGATTAGCGCCACCAGCAGGTCGAGCAGATCGCCGGTCAGCCCGGCATCCATGACGAAGCGGGTGTAGAGCCGGTTGGCGTCGGCCTCCGGCGCGGCGGCCAGGTCGGCCTCGCTCAGCCCCCAACCCGCACAGTACTTCACGTGCAGCGCCAGCTCGGTGTTGAGCAGCAGGTCGACCGAGGCGGCGGCCTGGCGCAGGTCGATCACCTCCTGCGACTTCACCACCGCCAGCGCCCAGGCGCGGCTGTAGTTCAGCAGAAAGAGGTAGTCCTGCTTCAGGTAGTGGCGAAAGCAGGCCTCGGGCAGGCTGCCGTCGGCCAGGCTGCGCACGAAGGGATGCGCGACGTAGCCGTCCCAGGCCGTCGCCGCGTCGGCCTTGAGCGCCTCGTAGATCGACACGGCGCTCTCCTATTCCAGCAGCATGTTGCGGGTTTCGCTCGGCAGCCTGACGGTCAGACCGTCGAGCTCCTCGGTCAGGATGATCTGGCAGCCCAGGCGCGAGGTCCGGGTCAGCCCGAAGGCGAGGTCGAGCATGTCCTCCTCGTCCTCGCTGGTCTCCTCCAGGCGGTCGCTCCAGGCCTCATCGACGATCACGTGGCAGGTCGAGCAGGCCAGCGAGCCCTCGCAGGCGCCTTCGATGTCGATGTCGTTGCGGTGGGCGATCTCCAGGACCGACAGACCCGCCGGGGCCTCCACCGTCTTGGCGTTTCCGTCGCGTTCGATGAACGTCATCTTCGGCATCTACGACCCTCGGACTCTCACACTTCGTTGGTTCGGCAGGCCGCATCATCGGCTGCGGCCTGCATGTAGCGAATGCCGCGCCGGATTGCCAGCCGGCGCGTCCGCGCGCGGCGCTTTCGCGCGGCGCACGCCGGGCATCGCTCCAGGGACCTGGGCTATTCGGCCGCGGCGGCGCCGGCGCGCACCCGCACGACGGCCTCGGCCAGCAGCTCGGCGGCGCGCTCGGCCTCGCCCGGCGTCGTCATGCGGCCGAAGCCGATGCGCAGGGAGCAGGCGGCCTCGGCCTCGGACAGGCCCAGGGCCTGCAGCACGTAGGAGGGCTCGACCGCGGCCGAGCTGCAGGCGCTGCCGGTGGAGACGGCGACGCCGCGGGCCGCCGCCATGACCTTGTCGGCCGGCGCGTCGGCGAAGCGCAGGTTGAGGTTGCCGGCGATCCGCGCCGTGCGGCTGCCGTTGAGCGGCAGCGGGCCCAGCCGCGCCTCCAGCACCGCCAGGAAGCGGTCGCGCAGCGCGGCCAGGCGGGCCGCCTCGGCCTCCCGCTCGGCGGCGGCCAGCCGGCAGGCCGCGCCCAGGCCGACGATCAGCGGCGTCGGCAGGGTGCCGCTGCGCAGGCCGCGCTCCTGGTTGCCGCCGTCGAACAGCGGCTCGATCCGTACACGCGGTCGGCGGCGCACGTACAGCGCCCCGACGCCCTTGGGCCCGTAGAGCTTGTGACCCGACAGGCTGAGCAGGTCGATGCCGGCGGCGCGCAGGTCGAGCGGGATCTTCCCCGCCGCCTGGGCGGCGTCCACATGCAGCCAGGCGCCGGCGGCGTGCACCAGCTCGGCGATCTCGGCCAGCGGCTGAATCACTCCGATCTCGTTGTTCACCGCCATGACCGAGACCAGGGCCGTACGCGTATCGAGCGCGTCGCGCAGCGCCTCCAGGTCGAGCAGACCGTCGGGGCGTACGGGCAGGATCACCGCCTCGAAGCCCTCGCGCTCCAGGGCGCGGACGGACTCCAGCACGCACTTGTGCTCCGTCGCCAG